GAGCCGCTCTCACCTGCCCGCCGTGCGGGCAGGTGAGAGCGGCTCCGGGCTGGAGCCCGCCGGGCGCAGGGGCGTCAAGCGGCCCCGCCGGTGGGTGCCGAGGCCGGCCCTGTGGCCGGGCTCCGCGGTGGGGAGCGGAGACCCGCTTCGTGTAGCCTTGGTCTCCCAACAGCGTCTTTAAAACCTGCGGCTCTTCCTAAGACGCTGTGGCAGCAACAGTAAATAGACGAGTCCTTGCGTACTGTGGTGATGCCAAAGTAAATAGAAGTTTTACCGTGAGGGAAATGCGTTTGCCGTTTCCACTCGACTGCTTGTTTGAACGTCAAAATACAACTCGGAACTTTATTTCCCACCCCACCCCGCTCTGTTCTCTTGTCTCTGTTCCGTAGCAGCTGGAGATGGAGAAAAAGATGCGCTGCCCCATTGCAACTTGCAGGTTTACACGTACACCTGTGATGTGGGCAAAAGAGAAAATGTCTACTCGACAGCCGAGAGGGTCCGCAAGGAGGTTGGCGAGGTGTCTGTCCTGGTTAACAATGCCGGTGTGGTCTCCGGGCACCATCTTCTGGAGTGTCCTGATGAGCTTATTGAGAGGACCATGATGGTCAACTGTCACGCACACTTCTGGGTAACTATAAATTCCCTTCTGCTGCCCTTTTTTGTCAGTTAATTTTGGGAAATTAACCGCTGTTGCTTAACTCCTTCAGTTTTGCACTTGTTCCCTTTCATTTGCAAGCTTACCACTTTAGGGGTTTTTCATTTTTAACTTACTGTTCTGTTTAACAGGAATGGTGGGTATTAAAATCATTAACAAATGGGTTTGAATCAACTGTATCTTCCTAGAATCCAGAATTCTAAGTCTTGTGCCCTTTTCTGTAGCCCTGGATATGAAATCCTTCGCAAGCATAACCCCTGAGTCTGCTTAAGGGTTGTTACTGTTAATGAATGGCTTCTCAGCCTTCCTCCCATAGTCTTCTGCCAGCATGTTAGTAGCTTTAAGATGCTGTTTTAATGATGGTTACAATAGCAAACTTGCACATTTCTGGAAAAAATACTTAAAACCCCTGCTGGAAACGTTGTTGGAATTGCCTTCAAGGCAAATTGTTCCTTTTGAAGGCTGGGAGGAAAGGCGAAAAAGATTTCTCCAGAAATCAAGCCAAGAACACTTTTTCAGGAATCCTGCGTATTTGTCCTCATAGCTTTCTCTGGGGGCTGCCAGTAAAAGTAAGAAAATCTTTAATATGGTTTCTGGGGTGATATTGTCTCCATAACTAGCAGATGCTAATCAAGGAGAACAAGCTATGTGATCTTACTATTTTTGTCTAAATTTTGTTTTCCTGTGTGGTTTATTTTTAAACCTACAGTAGTGTGGGGTTATATAAATTTGAGTGTCAAAGGAGGGCATGATGCACACTCGGGTTAGCATTAGCTGTCAGACCGAGCCCATTGTTAGTATTAAAACTGTTCGTTGGTCCTTCAAATAAGGTTATGAAATACACTTGCATAACAATCAAAGGATTAAGCAATCTGAAATATACTTCAACTTAAGCCTTCTTTGGCTGGTCTTACCTCTTCATAATAAAATTTTGTAAAACGCCTCATCTTCACAACTTAGAAGGCCCTCCCAAACCTAACTTTAACATGGAAGTGAAATGCTGTTTCATAACCCTAAAGGAGCCCCTCCAAAGCTGCACTGTGAAACACTTAATGGCAGAGCAGTCTTTTTCCAATGTATTGTAAAGCTTGCAGAGAGAGTGCTTTAACTTCAGTGCACATGAGATGGTGTGTTTGGAAACTCTTTTTAAACTCTGAAAGTATATTTTAAGGCAATTTGAAAAGTTCTGAGAAAGTTCATATGACTTCTTACAACTAAGAACTCTGCGTGTTCCCCTTCATGAAAGTTAAATTGATGCTTAAGCAAACAGAGATGTGCACTAGATTTAATGACTGTTATTGATGTGGTTTAAATGCCGAATTGACAGAGTTTCCAAGAACTCTAAATTATGACATCACCATGAATTAAAATATGGGAGGATCCTAAATTCTCCAGCTGTTCTTCCTTCAGGCCTAAGTCATACACTTATTTATAACATTGTTTCAGAGACCTTTTTAAAGTACCGTCTATGTTCTGAGTCTCTTACGGTAATAGAAAACTAAACTTAGAGTCTAGTATTGCTATGATTGGGTTTCCATAACAGTTTCATTCATTGCTAAATGTTACAGTGTGAAGTGACTTTAAAATTAAAAAAAAAAAAAAAACAAAAAAAACCAAAACAAACTACTCCAAGAAGGTATAGTTAGATCTGAACTGTGGAACTTGAGATCTTGGCTTAAGCTTCTAAGGAGCAGTCAACACCCTTTATATTTAATTGAGGTTCTGTTTGTATGTACACTTCCTGCAGATCTTGTGTCCTGCTTTGTTTTTCTTTCTATTTTTTGGTGTTGGCAAAGCTTTTTTTCCTTGTCTTCCCCTTCATGATCCCAGAAAAGGTTGGCTTGACCAACAGTGGGTGGACTTCTGTTAAAAGTAATAGTACTTAATTCATAAGATATCATCTGAATCAGCTGATTTGAAGCCAACTTTTTTGATGCAAGTCTATGCTGACTTAAATAGAACAATGTGTCTAGATGTGTGAAGTCTTATACAGCTAGTCTTTTCCATGTCAGCTAAACTGGTGGTCCAAAAGCAAAGCTAATACTCTGGAGTATTATGTAGGCTTTTAACTATTCTTGGAGGATGTTTCATCCAAAAAGCTGTAAATGGATTTTATAAAGACATGGATCTTCCATGTAATATTGCTTCAGTAGTTAAGTGTCTGTACTTTCTGTGTTTTTGTTGGGGTTTTGTTTGTTTTTTAATGTGAGAGAGAGGAAATTCTTCCTCATGCCTTGATCATTATCAAGCCTCAGTGTGCTTCTATATAAAAACCTAAAATGGGGCTCTAGTACTGTCCCCTTAAAACATCTGAAATAAGATTGATTGTCTGTTCTTCATGCAGAATGCAGGTGATCAGAGCTTGTTTTATGTAGCAGCTGTGATCTGAAGGCTGCCCAACTTGAGCAGTAGGCAGTGACATGAAAGTATGGCTCCGTTTTGCTATTGTGATTCCAACAGGGCTGTGTACCATATCACAAACTGGCAGTCAAGAGAACCTTAGCTGCATGCCACAGCCTAAACAGATGCTTTCCATTTTGCTGACATTCATGATTTGTATAATCCTTCCTATGAGTGTTCTACATAAACATGTCACCACTGCATCATGTAGCAATTTCCACAGCATAAAATCCACTGCAGTATTAAAAACCTGTTATTTCATGCTGTGATAACTTGAATGCTTCTGATATTGAAAACATAGGGACAAAATTCATTCCTGGTTTGAAACAAGCCAGCTCTGGTTTACTATAATTTGCAGATGCATAAAACTGTAGCAGGAGTGTAACACTACCTTTCCTGCCAGTCTGTTGCAAGAATAATAACTTACTTGGCTGCACTTGTCAATTACTGGAACTGAACTTCTGCAGACTAGGAAATTTTCTTCCTGTGATATGTCAGGCTTGAGATTTGAAAAATGTTAAAACACAGTATAATATAAAGCCGTTTCTTAATCAGTTTTAAGCAACAATAGGAACAACAGTTTTTATTTCCTGTGGTTTTACAATAAAGTTTAAGTGAAATATCAAAATACTGTGTTTTAGATTGTGGAACTGTATTTAATAAAACTACTGTACAAACTCTTATTTCAGGACAATTTGAGATTCTTGTACCTACTCTAACACTTTTTTCCTGGAAGAATAAAGCTGTTGCTGGATAAGTAGGTATTAATATTGTACATCAGCATAGTACCTGGGAAATCTTTCTAGATTTGGTTGTTGAAAGGGACTCATGGAGCAGCAGGGGCAAGGCAATGGTCAGGGCCTGTGAAGTTCTGTGATGTGAAAGTCCTTCTGTACAGCAGATCTTAAGTATTTAAGCTCTGAGAGAACAGTGATCTGCATTTCCCTGTCATGTGGATCCTTGAAAACTTTAGGCTTAAAGCTCTCTTAGAGGAGTTCCCTTCAACTTACCAAAAGGGGGAAGCAAAAGCATTCAGCTCCAGCTCTGTCATTTATTAAAAAAAAAAAAAAAAAAAAATCCACATAGTGAGAGACTAGGGCCCAGAGATTGAAAACTTGTGCACTGCTGTCTTAATTGGAGTGGGTATGTTCATTCACTTACAAATGACTTTATTTTTGAGGTTATGCAGGTATATTTGTCTTTGTAGGAATTGAACAAATCTTTTAGGTGGCCTGACATTGATACAGAAAGAGATAAATACTGAGTAAATAGGGAAATACTACCTAAGTAATTAGAATATTTGTAGTCTAAAACTTCTAAAACTTAAATGTACCTTGGAAAGAAAGTTAATGCAGAGTTAATAAATCAAATACCTATTTATGCAGCTGCTGTAGTTGTCAGTCTAATTAGACTGACAAGATTGCTGAAGCCTTCAAAAATAACAGTGGCTTATTATCTATAATGTATCAATACTTACATATTGTTATTCTAGTCTTTTCAAGCTCCCTGGTGTTAAATAAGGCTCACTTATGCCTATAGTTTTAGTTTAAATATAGAAGTATTGCACTTAGTGTGCACACTGAATCTTCTACAGAAGAAAAGACAGCTAGCTTAAGTTATATTATTTGAAACTATACCATGCTGAGTCTTGTGGCCTGTTGGCATAGCAGTTTGATTTTTGTTTTCATCTCTAGGATTCTAGTATCTATGATCAAATATAGACACAATATTCCACTGACAGGCCAGCTAGATATATTTAGCATTTTGGATAAGTGGAATTAGCTACTTTGTGGTTTTTTTTAATTTCTTGATAATGTATCCCAAGATGTGTAAGTTTACCTACAAAGTTTAATGTACAAGTTTGTGACTTTTTTTCTTTGAAAAATGAGTTAGATCTACTTCAACCAAAACATGTGCATGTGATCCAAAAAGTGTCATCAAAACTAACTCTTCCCTTGCAAAATGATTCAAACTGCATGCCATCAGTAAATTACCCTGGACAGCACATGTGTTTCATATACTGTGGTAGTGTGCTGGGTAGTGAATATGAAGGAAAAAGCAGTGATCTTCTTAGCTACGGAAATAGTCATATTAGTTGTACTTAAAACTTATAAGTCCTCTGGTATGGTTCTGCAGTTCATATGTTTTTGGGTTCATTTCTCAAGAAACTAGAGGGAATCTATCAACTGAGAAAATACTGTCTTCTGGATGCATGCTGTAGAAAACTACTTTCCCATTTTATAAAGGAATGTACTTAACACAGGTTTTAGAAAATAAATGGGTGAGTATATTTTTTTTTTTGAGTTTGAGTGGGCATGAGACTACTGGCTCAGAGCTTTCCTCACAGATTTATTTTATAGTCTACCAGGAGCTTGTCTAGCATTGTATCAAGCACAGTTGTCACAGTCTGCAATCTTTAACTTTGTAACCTGTTTCTTGCTATCTGTACCTGTAATCTAACCTTGTAGTCATGTTTTAGTTGTAGTGATTGTTTTCAAAGAAATAATTGGAAGTTTTTCAGTTTTCTGATCCTCTTTTTTTTGGGGGGGGAGGACAGGCACCAACCCAAACCA